CGATTGCAGCTATACGCGATGTCGCGCACTGATCCGACGAATTATAGCAACCGCGTGTGTGTCGTGCCAATGCTTGCGCGCGCTTCGCCGAATAACAAAACGAACTACTAATTCAAATTTTCCTACGGTGCGTCTTAAGACGCACCGTTGGAAAGGCCTTCTTTCGTTGATTACTTCAAAATGACAGCTTGCCAGAAAGAATAATTTCACAGGGAGTTTAGTCTTCTTACTATCTTTCAACCAAGTATGTTTTTCAACAATAATTACGCCAGTTACTTTTCGGATGGCTGCAAATGATGGACTCTATGCTTTAAATACAGAGTGTGCAATAAAAAAGTGGTCGCCTTCTGCGGACGTGTAAGAAACAACATTTGTCAGGTACCGCGTGTAATTTATGTGACGCACACACGACGTGTGTCGTACATCGAATGAAAACGTCAGGAAAAACTAATTCGTACTCCGTCGTGTCTGATGTTAACCACCGTCTTTTTTTTTCTTTCGTCTTTTCTCAGGAACTTAAAAACATTAGGTTGCTTAGTTCCTTCCAACTTGACGTTTAAAAAAGTGAAAACCAATCAAAAGCACGACATTTCCGGGGATTTTAGATCATAATCCCCCTTTAAACTCTCAATTCTGCGGGTTGTACGTCCAAAGAAACCCGATGTTTTTCTAATGATAATGCATTGTATTACACCCTTAGAATTCTGCGCTATTCATGTTCTTCTATGTAAAACCACAATGACTTGCACAGTACATGGAACTCGTTGGAATGAAAATTTATATTCTCATGTCGAGGGGGACAGGCAAATTTATGATGCAGGTCGTTGTTCCCGTACTTACCCGGCCGCCTCATTATAATCCGTACATAATATGACACAGCATGTAGGTTGCCGATCACTTACAGAAAACGATATTATACTTCTGCACATTTCCATGAGGCCACATTAAAAAGACGGGCCTTGGAGAGGACTTTGTTGAATATTTTTAACTTTGAAACTGAGGTTTTATCCCTGGTGATTTTTACAGACAAATTATTGTGACGACGATCCTTGAAATCGAATTTTTGACGAAAGAGGTTTTAGGGTCATTGTGTTAAAATGATGATATTCTTTGAACGAATTGAGCAATTTCAGTATTTTTTTTTCACCTGAAAGTAGCTTATGAAATTGTCTTGCCAAACATTATTATTTTTGGCGCTGCACATCGTTTTGTTAAAATGTATGAAATATAATATTTTGGGTTTGGGTTCCGTTTTTTTTTTTTTACTCACCCTGTATTATACAAAGAGTGTATTTTGCTGTTTTAATACCCAACCGAAAGCACACGCCCCTTTCAGTTGTACGCAGTTATCCTTTCAGATTGATGAAAGAGATTAACAAAGGGCAAACGCCGACATATGGTTGGAATGCCACGCATAATGAAGTTGTAAATTCCTACCGTTTACTATAAACACCCAGACCAGGATATAATAGTGTATACAATGTACATGTACATGTACATGTACATTTGTGCACGTTGTATTGCGTGCATGACTGAGGTAACGTTATCGTATTATTAAATGTGCTGGTCAACTGTTAATGTTATGAAACTCTTCAGTTTTTACAACACACCAGTTCGAAGCGGGACACCATATTAAACGGCTCATATTTATGATTTTTTAAAAATGCAATCCACCAAAAAAATGTACCTTTGTGTCCCATTTAACTTTGCTGTCAATGTTCATTTTGCCATTTGTAAGGGCATGATTTGGGTGATTTTTGTTTGCTTATTACGCTAATGTTATTATGCTGAGCCGGCCTGTAACCTTACGTCATGTGTACACCGACCTTCATTATTCCTTGACCACATAAAACAATAAGAGAAAAAAACTATTTTTGTGGACGTACAAATTGACATGCTATGGTCCCCGAAGGCAGTTTGGGCTTGTTTATTTACTTCCTTGTATTAGCCTACAGGTACTAGGTATAGGACCCTTGTCACTTCACATGTCGTTCTCTAACAATCAACGTTAAGGCTGCCTTTGTGGGATGTATTTTTACAAACAACAAGTCTGCAATAGCCGAATGTTATTCAAGCTTCTTGCACGACCTTCAACCGCGCAGTTCCTTCACAGCACTTCCAAATTTGAATACAATACACTTGGCTTTGTTTGATCGCTTTCGATATTAGATCCACATTCAGAATCAGATCGCATTGTTGATTTGCCAACTCTGGGGTACATTAACAATCATTTTAACACCTGTTCGTCTGTAGTTCGTTTTCCACCCGTCCGCGCCAGACGGAGTGCTGGCATATACATGTACAAGTACACTCTTCTTTGTGGCCGTAAACATAATCCAATGCTATCCCTGATCTCACCACCGATTTACTGACTGTAGACTTGCTTCAGTCTGACATTGGCCCAAAACATTGACTACCTAGACTTCAAGTCTTAGACCTTGAACCAGCTAAACTGTAACAAGTGCGAGTGCGCAATAAGCTCCGGCCGCCTTGCATGAAAGTCTCGAGTAACGTTGACCGGAGATTGTGCGTACAAGCCCGGGCCACCGTCCCACGCGAAAATCACGCTGCGCTATAGTCTGTCCCCGAAAATTGACCAAAATAACCCCCTGGGTTTCCCATAAAATATAACGTGCTACATATTATATACCTCGTGACTATAACATCACTGCACATATTTTGCCTCCACTAAATGATTACACAATTTTGTTAAGCAACTTTACGAATTGTCAGTACAAACAAGTATTTAAGTTATTTTGTTTGCCTTTTTTGGGGGAAAAATAATATTGGGTATAATTATACTATTTCATGGGAAATTTAGGGGGCTCGTTTTTGGTCAATTTTTCGGGACAGACCGACCGACCGACCACGAAGTGATTGGAGAAGCTCCTGCATGCTAGAGCTTAAAAGCGGTGTTTGAAGTTTAAACACTGTTTTGTTACCACTTACCACTGTTTTCACATGTTTATTCTCAGACATTTTTTGGATTTTTGTTTGCACATGAAAGCCTGCTAGTGCCTTCAAAAACAAACTCATCAAAAGAACAATCTATATTTCCAAGTTCATTTTTTTTGCTGAGACTGGAGATAAAAAACAGCGATAAAAGTTTGAACTTTGATTTGGGCCCGTCATTCGACTTTTATTTTGTGTACTTGATGGCACTTACATGCTTCCGTTGTCTACCCTAGCATGTCACAGACATGTCGTGGATTCAAACATGTGAAAAAAAGTGGGTACATCCAGTATGTAGAAATGTGTTTAAATTCCAAACACATTGTTTACTGTATAGAATGCTTGACTAGTCTCGTTTTTAAACATCTGCGTGTTCACATCAGATTTTTTCTCGACTTTTTTGTTTTAAATTACCATTGACCATTGGGTAACATCGACCAGCTCAACAGGAACACAACGGTCTTGACGAACATTGTAAACACTGTTTTTACGAAGAAAAAACTACTTGCTTTGCCAAACGAAAGTCGCGTTCCCTGACGTCCAATCCCCTGCATAATTGACAAGCAATTTGAACAAACATCTTTTAGGTTGACTCCCCACGGTGATATTTTAATTAAACCACGTAACTCGGAATTGGCTTTTGGCAATTTTAATCATCGTTTTTCAAAATGAATTGCGCTCAACTCAGGTTGAATTGCGCTCAGCTTCGATCAGTTTGCTTTCTGGGGAGCGCATATAATGGGTTTCATGCGAAGACTGTGCATTATAAGTCGATGAATGATAGAAGTTTCAAATATTGAGGCAGGAGTAAGTGAACAAATTTTTGTGATGTGCGAGGCTCTCAGAGTTCATCGCGCATGCGCAGTCCTGTTTCAAGTCGCCATGGAAACTTTTTTTCCAGCAGTGGTATAACAGCGCATATCACAAGCGAATGAAATTGACCCTGAACTGAATTGGAAAGGATGTAACCATGATGTAACTATGACTACAAACACTGGGAAAAACCCTTTTATTGAAGCAGTGTAAGCTTTACATAAATGTAAAAAAAATAAAGGTTGTACAAAAATGTTACGTTTGAGCTATAGCAAGATGTGAACTTTCGTCAATACCTAAGATTCACGTCTGTTTAATACAGCGCCCTCATTCGCCCAAGCATAAGACATAATTTATGTACCTTTCTTTTGTTTGTAAACATTAAGCACCATTTTGTATGGGCTGCCGCAAGCGCATAAGTTGAAGCCGAGGTTGGCAAAATGACAACAGATTTATTTTACAAAAAAACCGGCACACCTCGTTACATAAGGAAGTCTTTTGTTGCGTTTGTAGATTTTATTTTGTATTTTCAACAATCCCACAATATTTTTGTAGTCAATAATAACATTTCTGCATTTTTGCAGTGTTGGGCCTTCCATAGTTTGGCAACCCGTGGTTGGCAATGGGTTGGCGATAGAATGGTCAAATACCTAGCCCTCCTTGATATTTTGTTTCGAAACCTTGCCAAACGCAACATACAATACGCAATACTTTTTCCAACGTGAAAAGCCTGCCAAAATGTAACAAGGTCGAACACGTCAAAAAGTCCATGTGTCTAATAGTGAGCACGTGTGGTCTTGCGGTAGAGCACATGATTCATGATCGTGAGGTGATGGGTTCGAGCCCCGCCATGGCCATGCGTGTTGTGCCCTTGAGTAAGGCGCTTTACCTCAATTACTCAACCCAGGTGTTAAATGGGTACCAGCATAATTCAATGCTGGGAAGGTAGGTGGAGGTGTGGCGACACCCCCCCCCCCCCACAGCAGCATATGAGTCTTTCCCAATCGCTTTTTAAAAGTCCATGGCCAAATTACCTCAGAGTCAGTGTGGTCTGTGGTTGCCAACTGCAGCAGGATACAACTGTGGCATTGTTCACTATGAAACTAGCCTCAGAATTGGCATTTTACGCACTGGAGTTTAACCTTTATCATTTCTTTTTCATCTGTTATACATTGTTTTATAGAAAATTGGGGGCTGCAGTTGATTTTGCTGTTTTTCTGTTCATCTTCAGATTGATTGTCATGCGGAGATTCCTTGTGATTGTCGGCTTAGCCTATTCCATGCGGTGCGTGACCATGATAGTGACGTCACTCTCGGTAACGGGGTACCACGTCCACTGCGGCAAGAAGGTAGGAAACCAGACGACTTATGGTTAAGCCCCACCCAGTGATAGTTTTGAGCAATCACAGCCCGTCTGTCCGCGCATGACGCAGCTTTCTTTGTGACGCTAGAGGACAGACGCACGTATTATCCAACCTGTGAGGTGGGCGGTGCTTTTCTCCCTTATCTGGAATGTTTCCTTTGTTTAAAGATTGTAATTTTGTGCCACTTTGTGGATTGATCAAATGCCAGTTTCAAGTTTCAGTTTGGAACATCATTGTTTGACGTCATCAGTGTGTGACGTCATAGTAGTCCTACATGACACTTATAAAAGCTTACATATGCGAAATATTTACCGAAAATAATACTACATGGTATAGGCATGACTTATGATACAGCCATTTTTTTAATTAAATTTTTCTCTCCCACAATTTGTTTTTAGATGTTTGACAGCGTTTGGAGCAAGTTGGGACGCGCCGTGGCGCCCTCTATAGGCCTGGGGATGACACTGACTGGCCAGAGGGAAGAGATGTGCGGTGATTACATGTACAGCGGTCACACGGTGTCTATCATGACCGCATGTCTATTCTTCACTGAGTGTAAGCCTATCTCATCACATTTTTATACCTTCCTCTGTTCCCAGTTTTCTGGAACACATTACCCACAAATATAGGAACAGTGCGCACAATTTGAAATGAGAATTACAACGGAGGGACTGGAAACCAGTCTACGTGGGTACAGGTTTAAAAGTGCGCAACAAAGTGTTTCAGTTTATGAGCTTGAAGTCGCCCATAACAAAGCTAAAAGCCACTCATGGTATTAAGGGCTAAAAAAGAAGGGAACCTAGACCGGCAGAAGGGTTGCTTGCCCCTGTATCCAAAAACTTGAAAAGCACAACTGAGAAGCGCGATAGAGGTACGTACATGCACGTGCAATACATAACGTAATCTTAGAACATGATTGTTCAAAGAATAACTTTGTCAAGGAAATTGTGATCAGAACAGATGTCAGAATTACAGCCTATTAAACACTTTAATTATTTCATTGCATTGATTTTCCTCTTTGTGTCTTGCTGTACCGTAGACACTCCGAGTAGATGCCGTTTGTTTCACTTCTTGGCGTGGGTCACGGCCGGGGCGTCTCTGTTCTTCATCGTAGCCGCCCACGAGCACTACACGGTTGACGTCCTAATAGCAATGATCGTGACAAGCCTCGTTTTCCTCTACTACCACACCTTGGCGAACACCCGGGCCCACCTCCACCGCGAGGTGAACAAAGTCCGGGTCTGGCTGCCCTTCTTCTACTACTTAGAAGCCAAAGTGGACGGGGTTGTCCCTAATGAGTATGAGTGGCCGTTCCGCTGTCCTTCCCTGTCCTGGTCACAGGGCCCGAAGGTCTGGCACCGCAGCAAGTCCGGTCTAGTCGACTGACCCCACGCCTCCCCCGAAATAGGTCATCAAAAGCTTGTATCTTCACCTTGTACAGGGTCACAGTTAACATATTCCATGCTGTAGTACATTTTATTCCTCACTCTTTCACCCCTTGATAATGGACTGATCCGTTAAGCCCCGCCCACGCGCACGCAGCACCACCTGTGCGTAAGTGCAAAAGGAGCCTTCAGCCAATAGGCGTTGGTAATCAGTGGTGCGCGCGCGTGTATGAAAAAGCCAATTACGAACCGGATCGAAACTGCATGTTCTAGGCGCGCGCGTCATATGCAAATAATACGCATGCCGGACATTAACCACGGCTTTGATTGGTCAAAACATTCTAAGGCGAAGCTTGGTGGATCGGTCTATTGTAGCCAGGGTAGGTCAAACTAAAGGCTGTTATTGTAGACCTCAAGAATCCCGTGGCTAGATATTGAGTATGACGCCTGAAATGACCGAGTATATTTCAGGCTGATCGATATTAAAGCACGCGGTAGGAAGAAGCCCCGGTTACTAGAAAATAACTAACGTACTTAACTCGTAAGGCCTTGAAGTTTTAAGATGAGAGAATGGTAATTTCTGACTTGGGGTGCTGTCTTGACCTCTCAAAGGTCACCTCTGTAAGATGACCTCTCTTAGCAGAAGCCATGTTAATGCGGAGCTTCGCGTTTGGTGCTTTTGGTGCTCTGATATATAAAAACAGTACCGCACACCGCACCTTGCACGCACGAAACACGAAAGATGATACGGTCTTTTGTAAGCAAAATGTAAGAGCAAAAAAATAAGAGCTGTTGGAAATACTTGTTTATGAAATATGCAACAAAAGACACAGTTGTGCTGGCGCTTTTCTTAGTGAGCCGCTGTGATCTTGTTACATCTTTAACGTTAGGTAAAGTCTACGTTTTGTCTGCGTTTGAAATCAAGTCGTTATACGAGCATTAACTTTTGCTGTTTACGCACTTGCTGGTCAAGTACGGTGTAGACAGATTATCTTGAAAACGGAGAACTGAAATCGAGGGTCGTTCATGATTTTTTTAAAGACAAAATCTTGTATTCCAACTCACATTATAAACTCTATTTTTTCCCCATAAAATTTTATCGATAACTGGACTACAGCTAAGAGCCGTAATACAAATAGTAAACAGTAATGTAACATTTTACTTTGGTGTAATGAAAAACAAATCACGTTCTTGCCATACTTTTTCAGCAATGTCTGAACACTAAAATTGTATTGTAAAGCTAATTGTATCCAACCATAATTGCAGTTTGTAGCACAGATGACCGAAGCGTTTGTGTTTGAAGCCATTGAACAAAGATATTGACCAACTGGGGAACCACCAGTATTGGGCTGGGACGGTAGCTCATCTGGTAGAAGCACCGGAATGGCAATCCGGAGGTCGCAGTTCAAACCCTGCTCCAGTCAACATTACACTGATAAACATCTTAAGCTTTAACAACCTTAATAGACCCAATCACATATTCACGGTTGGAGCTACGGATATCCACGGTTTACCGAGAATCAGTCAACGAAGAACCGTCGAGATTCGTGGCGACCTTGCACAATACGGTTTCAGGACGGATAGCCACGACTGTCCTAAGGTTTCTTTAAGAATAGAATACAGTGTGAGTCAAAAAACTATACACTTTTAAAATTGGCCATAGTTTTATTATGTAGCAATACAGATAAGGTATTTTCATATGTACTTTTAGAGTAACTCTTCCTGCTTCTTTTGGTGACATTTTATATTAATGATTTATGTTAAATTCAACCGAAAGTTGTAGTCATACAAGACCAAATTAAATTTGGTCTTGAATGACCACAAGTTTTAGTTGAATTTAGCAAAAATTCTTACCCAAACAATTGGTTATAGAACAACCCAAGTTTGGGTAGTTCCAGTTTTCACCCTTTCTTTGGTAAACTTAACCCAGGCAATTTGTCAGTGTAATTACCAGATCACATTAATGATGTTCTGAAACCACTCTAAGTTTCAAGAAGTGAGATATAAGACAGTGCCAGATAGCAAGTTTTTAACAAAGAATTTAATGCTGTGAGGGTGGTGTGCCTGTATGAGGTTAATAGCGACAGTACAAGGTATAATGAGTCGTCCGAGAGGAGACTATTAACGGAGGAGGCAGTCGATCTAGGCCTAAGTAGGCCGATGTTTAATTTTATACCTAGTTTTTTTGTTTGCTGCATTACACGCCGTTGTTTCTATGATATCGGTGCATGTTGTTGTTGTTACCGCTGTTACTGTTGTTATACTTCTTTTTACATTCATGTACATCACTTGAAAACTCGGCTCATGTCTATTCCGATTAATGACGGTTCTAGCGAGTGACAATTTCAAAACCAGTCTGAGCATTGATCACAAGTTCGCGTAGATAGCGTTGCTTGGCGCCTATTCAAGTTTGATTTTCCGTGAATGCTCTTGGTTTGCGCATGGGTAATGGCGTGTAACATGAACTGCGCGTGAGCAGTGCAGACAACAGCAGGACTGCACTTTTGCTGAGAATGTAAACATTAAACAGTCGCGGTTGAAATTTCAGCTCAGATTTGTCATAACAGTTCCGGATGGTGGGTGTACTAGTGACGTACTCAACAAGCCCCGTATAGCGCCCTATTCTGTGACGTTTGACCCATTGGGGTCAAAGGTTGCAGATTGATCCCAGAGTCAGACTGCATGGATACGTGGATAGCATGACAGGCCCCGCCCTATTTTGGTTCGTGTAAACGTTTCTCACAGTGCACGTGACTGAATTAGACCGTGCCACCGAGGTCACCTGACCAATATGGTCGTGATCTGATTGGCCAATACGCACTGTTGACAGACACCTCTGAGCTTCCACTTCCAGTTATAGTGTACACGCATATACTTTCATCACTTATACAAATTAAAATTTCTTACGAAGTTTGGGTGGGCCTGGAATAAAGAGCGCCTATTATTGCAAAAACCTTGCTTTAAGCTTGAAAATTGTAACTTTTCCAAACCTATCACATGTGAATTCACAATGCAAACAATTTCACACTACAATCGTAACTTGGGTTTCTCTACTACGCATGCGCAGCTGGGTCCGCTAGACCTGAGATTGGAACAACATGGGCAAGATATAACAGTAAAAGTAGTGTTTTGATATATCTTTATTGTCTTATAATACAGTTGTCATTTTAGCCTTTGTCTCGATTTAAGGGTTTGTAAGTGTGCATGTGTTTAAGCAATTGTTTATGAGTAGCATTTGCAACATGTTAAAAAACCAGTTGACTTTACAAAGATGAGAAAAAAGTGTTTTACCGTCATACGCTATAACTAAAAACTGCTTGCCTTTTAAAGAGCATATTGTCATTCGTGTTGTTGCCATTCGAATTTATGCCAAATTTAAAGTTGCCTTTTTTGTGTGAAAGCTTCACTGTAATTTAAAATGAAATTGTATTTAGTGTTTTGTATATCGAAATTGGAAAAGGACCATTACTGCACCTTGAACGTTCTTTTTATCGTTTGCCTATGGTCACTATTTTTAATGTAAAACTGAAGTAGCATTAGTGAAAGAAAAATATTCTTGTGATCTTAATGTATATTAAGCCATGAGGCAGCCGGCCAAGTATTTATAAGTGCATGCACTGTATTCTATCTTCGGTAGTATTGTAGTATTTCTCCTTCACCCTTGTACACGTAGTCTGAGTAGGAACCAACTTAAGTCTCCTGTATAATGTCTGATATATCTCAGACATGCAGATACATGCACGGCCGCGCGCCAGCCAATCGGAGTCGACTTTACTAAATCGTGACGTCATTTCATTCCCAAATCAGGACTAAATGGTTTGATTGGACAATTCAACAGCTGGGCGCATATCGCGTAACATGATACAGAGCTCGTGACACAGGTTTTTTTTTAAAATTCATTGGCTATGACGCGCAACGGATGAATGACCAAAGACCTATAGAAATCGCCCGCTGATTGGTCAAAATCTAGAGGTTAGGTGGCGGTTGTCTTGCATAATTAAACAGAAAATCTGATCACATTATAGGCATGTACAAAGGCTTTTAAATTAGTGAAATAATAATAGTTTTTAGAGGATGGTTGTGTGGATGTTTATATCCTATTTTCAAATACTCCTTCCAATAAAAATAATTTCGTTTAAAACGCGTTTTGTAGCCCGATTGGGCGCCTTGCAGGCTGTAATATCCCTTTAAACTGCTTTTCCGGAATGGCCCCTGCAGCACACAGAAGCAAAGTAAAGGAAAGAATTTCATTTATGTCCTATAAATCTCTCGATTCAGGGCCGTTTCACTTTTGTGCTGCAGAGGAAAAGGTTGGGGAAATTCCCAAACTTTTCACGGGACCGACTGAACAATGGGTTTTTTATGGAAAGAAAACGGCTTCCTCTTCCAGTTAAAAAGAAAGAAGAAAAGAAAAAAGTTCTTTAGAATATGATCATGTGCGTCAGAAAGGCGGACGCATGTTTTCAAAAAAGGACATAATTCGCACGACTTGTATTTCTCGCCTGGAGTAAGTTCGCAGGCTAAAGCTGTTAATTATTGCAATTTTACTCATATTTCTTTGGATGTTGGTTATTATTTGGCCTTTTTAAACTTTGAAAATGGAATATTCTGTACACATCAGGCCGGCCATACATTCGATAAGGTCATTGCTGAACTCACGCACGGTGCCCTTTGACATTCAAGCGTGAATTGAACGGGCATCGTGTTGAGATTTTCTTCGTGGCAACGTACTTTTTTTCACAAAGTTTTCGGCCCAATTTTTGGGTATGGAACACCATGCAATTCATTTTGATTAATGCCCGATAGGCGAATTGTAATGGTGGCATGGCAGACCGATATATTTACTGTTGATTAAGACCTTTTTTGTGTTATCAGTTGTCATTGGTAAGAGAAGGGTCGAAGGCTAAATTCTCCTTACCTCAGGTTTCTTGAAGAGGCTGTAGTGTCATGATCCTTTTAAACTATCACATGGGCAGTCATGGAATAGTAAGAGGCTGTGTGTTATAACTTGTTTAGTGTATACAATATATCTTATACATCATGCACAAATCTTACCGTGGCATATAAGCCATAGATCAATTATTTAAATTTTATATACTTTTTTTTTATACCCAAGAGTATTTATCGATATTTATGTTTTAATGTTGGATAAAATGTACCATTTCCTAACGATATTTGGCGCGTGTCTGCACACTGCCTACAATAAATTGCCGTGGAAATGAACTGCGCAAAGAATCGTGGGAAGCATGACCAATGCACGTACATTCCATGCGCGCGCGTCGTGACCCCAGGTCACGTGTCATCCGAAAACTATCAAATTAGAGACATTTTTGAGGTCACAAGCGTCGTTCTGGGTCACTAGGATCGAGTGAAAGTACAATGTACGCGTATTATCAAATTCTTTGTCACAAAAGTTAACTTTCATTTACATTTTTTTTCAGCAGTTGTTAATGCACAAAAGATTATCCCCCATTACACAATTTTGGGGATACATGATAGCAAAAATAGATCTATTACCGAGTTTTAGTGCTACTTGAAAAAATAATAACACTAACTTACTGGAAAGAAAGTTACTGTATATCGGTGTTCAATATCCACGTTCTTCCGACACACGAAACAATCCACCGTCATTTGCATAACAATGATCTTTGGTACTATTGTTCTTGCCTAATTTCCACAACAGTAATTAGTCTTAATTATTATTCAACGTAATTATTCAACAGTAATTAATTTTAATTGTAATTTTTGTCACTACTTGATTAACACACACGGTGCATTATCGTTGGCTAATGTAAAAACAAACAAAAAATGACAGTAGTGCACAAATGCTGGAAAAGAAATTGAAGGCTAATAAACTAACGATGCAAAAGAAAACTTGGCCCGGTATCGTCTTTGGAGTGTTGTTACTATGCAAATGACCCCAGAGGTCAGGACATCACGTGATATAGCGTTTTTTCTTTGCCTCTAAAACATTTCAGAGAGAAGGAAAACGTCAAGTTCTCTAATACGATCGAAGAGAGCAAACTATAATGAATAATATCTCACCATCGATCCGATTGATACAAAATGTAATGGTTTTTCCCCTTCAATTCTTAACCCGATCGCGAGAAAGCACGAAGAGAGCGCAAACCCACTTTACAATACACTCAATCAAAAAAGAAAGTCCCCCCTTCCAATATTTTTTTTGTCTAACTCAAAAACTACTGAGCTTTCGTTCAAATAACGACCGAACAGTACAGAAATTCCTTAGCAATCCAGCAATACTCTTTATTTGGCCAAAAACAGTGATAACGTGTACGAATTTATGCAATTTGTGACATATGATTCCGAAAACAAATGCACTTTTGTATACGTGCAAGTTATGGTTCACACTCACCTTGCATGTATACAAAAGTGTAACTTTTTTTTCGGTACCACTTGTTATAAAGTGCATAATTGTGTACACATTATTACTGTTTTGGGCCAAACAAAGAGTATGGCTGGATTGCTAAGGAATTTCTGCATTGATCAGTCGTAATTTGAGCAAGATGTGCCCAGTAGTTTTTGAGTTAGACACAAAAGTATTAAGCGGGACTTTCTTTTTTGGTTGAGTGTATATTAACTGCCATAGGCAGAGTGGTTTTGGGGATTCCATCACTTTTCGAAAGGTGAGATGTTTTGGTGTGAATATTTTTAATGTAGATGGCTAACACCCCAAAAAGTGAACAGAAATTGAAAGATAAAGGACAAGACAATCTGAGAAACCCCAGTGATGTCAGCTTGCATGTTATTTGGCCCTGAACTGTGATGATTTTACATTATTTTCAATGGGGCTTGAATTCTCGTTTCACAATGCATGCAGTGCGCCAGAAATAAAGGTTTGCCACTGAGAGTTCATTTTTCCAAGTGCATTGTGGGAAATGGTCAACAAATTCGACACATACGGGTGCAGTGCACTAATTCAAGTGAGAATTTCTACGCCATCTTATTTATAGCATAAAATGTTCCCCAACCCTCCACAACTTCTTTTGAAAACGTAAACGGAGACCGTTTGGCTTTAAAAACGGTGGAATTGTATAAATATAGCCAAGGATCAACTCCCTGGTTATTGGGCTTCCATCTGAGGGCAGGCTTGAAAAAAAATACGTTTGAAAAATGGGTCATATTTGCCTGATGAGAAAGTAGAAGGATGCCACCTGTAAAATTGCTACATGCAGGCTTGGGAACTATCACTTTTCGGGAGATGATTTGGTTTTGGTGTGATTTTTTAGAAATGCAATTCGCTAGTCTACCCAAAATTGACAATAAATGACAAGATGAAGGATAAGACAATAATTTATTTTTTGTTTGAGAAACCCCAGTGGTGTCGGCTTGCATGTTATTTGGCCCTGAACTTTGTTAATTTTACACTGTTACCATACGAAAATAAGTGACATCAAATAATCAGACAACAGGTGGCGCTATTCTCAATTAACGGTGTCAAGTCAATCCTCGTTCTCATTGTGTCAAGCAGTACGCTCTCACCATATTTTGATCATAATATTTTGATCATATTATGTTGATCATTATGACAATAACCCTCTGATATTCAGCAGATTTGTGTTATTTATCATGAACAGTTAATAGACGAAGTTTTAATTAAATTCAACAGGTATATCTTGAGTTGTCCAGCGGGCTGTTTTTGTTCCATGATTTTGGCAAACTGTTCCCGGTCCCGACATTAAATGAACACAGCGCCACCAACAGTTCATTGTAAGAACTAGTCGGGTGTCATATATACGTGTTTCTTAGCACATCCGGTAACAACGATAGCGAAGGTGGGTACCAAACGTACTCCTACGATACGTAATTCATCAATCAAGATGGCTTCGATGTTGGTGAAAAATTTCAGAAGTTTGACGTGTTTATCGCGTCAAATACTGCCTTGTTCTAGATTTGTGGTGCCTCTACAGAAGCAGATACTCAAAAGGAGACAAGGGACGTATGTTGCTATCGATGACAACATATCCGGACTGAATGAACATGAGAGACAGGTAACGTTATCGTGCTGCCCAATATCCGGACATAATTATATGCCGTTTCGCACTGCGGAATAGTCGTACACTGTAGCCTTGTTGCCATTTTGTGATTGGACAATTAAGCCGGTTCGGGGGTCAGACAAGTCGACCGTTGAGACAACTCGACTCGGGACAAGTCGACCGTTGAGACAACTCGACCGTTGAGACAACTCGACCGTATGTGCGATAAATGGAAAGACAAGTCGACTGAATGTCAGACAAGTCGACCGTTGAGACAACTCGACTCGGGACAAGTCGACCGTTGAGACAACTCGACCGTTGAGACAAGTCGACCGTTGAGACAACTCGACCGTTGAGACTGCTCGACTTAATGGAAAATGAATACACGTGGAGCAGAAAAAGTTGCACAGCAGGCATGCTCGATGTACAGAGGGCACTCCGATCCGGTGGTCGTCGCGTCGGGCCGCCGGTGCGCCCCGCCTGCGAGGACCGGGCCGGGCCCGGCACACGGGCACGTCGACCGGCACGGCAAGTGGAAGCACAGGCCCGGCACAAACGATGTCACCGTGTACTCCTAGAACTATGAGGCTCCGCGTGAGCGGAGCCTCATAGATCAAGAAGCCCGCAAAATTGCCTGCAGCACAAAACACTAAAAGCGAAATGATGTGCATGCGTACAAGTGCATGTACCGTACCCCCCGCGGCGCGCTCTGAGCGAACCGAAAATCATCGCTCGATCATAATGCGTGCACGTTTCAAGTGTCAGGTTGGCTCAATGCGGAAAGGGCATATTTTTCATCATTTTGGCCTAAAAACCGACAGAATCCACCTATGTTAGTTCCGCACAAGATACGTGAGTATGTCAAGAGATAAAGTACGGAGTATAGGGGCAAACTGTGCAGCGGTTCTGTGTGAAATGGCTGCATTTTGATGGACGTTTTTGTACTTTATTAGTGTTTTGTGCTGCAGGCAATTTTGCGGGCTTCTTGATCTATGAGGCTCCGCTCACGCGGAGCCTCATAGTTCTAGGAGTAGTCACCGTGTACAATGTACGGTACGGCCACATTGCCCGGGGATGCGCGCACTTGGCCCGGAAAAAAACGAACGATGTGCACGAACAATCACGCTGTGCTATATCGGCTCGGTTACATGTATATGCAACAAACAAAACTCATGTGTCACCACTCCCAAACGGCGATCAGCCGCCGTCAAAATCCCGGTACTATCCCCAAAACTAGGCCCAAAAACATGCGAGGCGACTTGTCTCAACTTGGGTCGACTTGTCCCGAGTCGAGTTGTCTCAATGGTCGACTTGTCTGACCCCCCCCCCCAGGACTAGTCTGTTGTTCGTATTTTGATAACTTCAACGTGTGTACGACGTGTACCCCTAGAACTATGGGTATTAGTAATAATATGTATAAAAACGCGAAAACTCTACAAATGCAATCAACGACCGAAAAAAGTCAATGAAAGTAGAGTTGAGGGAGAGATTTCCATGAAGTTCACTCGGTGTCAGGTCAACTCGCCCCCTGGCCGACTCGCCCCCTGACCGACTCGCCCCTTACAAGCTCGCCCCCTGGCCGACTCGCCCCCTCGCCAACTCCCCTCCTAGCCGACTCGCCCCCTGACCGACTCGCTCCCTGGAAAATGATGCACCGTACGGTATGTACGGGGACATCGTAAAAAAATAAAATAAAGACAGTGGAGGGGAACACAGAGGGTCCAGCAAATCAGCTTTGTTATCTGAGTTTTGGGATTGAACTATTACAGTTGCCCAATTCAAAATTTGGTTCTGAAAGTTCCATTTCTGAGCCTCTTTTACAACTTTTTCAAAACCGTTCGGTATGTTTGATAAGAACACCACTAAACCAAAAAAATGAAAAACATTTTTTTTGATTTTTCAAATATACATCATTTATTCTGAAAAATATTTTTTAATGAAACTGAGGACCCAGAGTCGAGATTTACAATTATTACATTATGTCATTGACAAGCGGTGACCGCGGGTATACCTGCTGCGCGCTGGCACCCACCGTACCGGTACCTGTAGCTGTCGCGCGCCGGCACCTACCGATACCTGCCGTGCCCGCCGGCAGTCACCGTGAACGCTACTACGCGCACATGCCCAACGGGCCCTATATGCCACGGGCACTCTGCAAGAAATCACGCTGCGCTATATCGGTTAAGTTGTGCTAAGGTGTTTCCAACCCAAATTCTTTATAAAGCAAGGATCAATAAATTTTTTGCATTGGTATCTGAAATCCTTCAAACTTGCGTTTGAGTAATTTGGCTCCATTAAGTTTCACGTTGCGACCGGGCAATGTGCTCCACTGTCTTTATTTTTATTTCACGATGTCCCCGTACGGTGCATAATTTTCAAGGGGGCGAGTCGGTCAGGGGGGCGAGTCGGCTAGGAGGCGATTTGGCGAGGGGGCGAGTCGGCTAGGGGGCGAGTCAGCCAGGGGGCGAGCTTGTAAGGGTCGAGTCAGTCAGGGGGTGAGTCGGTCAGGGGGCGAGTCGGTAAGGGGCGAGTCGGTAAGAGGCGAGTCGGCCAGGGGGCGAGTTGACCTGCAATCGTTCACTCAACACCCTGTGTACAAACCCTATGAGATTGGACTGAAAAATTCTGTGTTTTCTAAGGAGTGTTTTCTAAGAAAATGCTTGTATTTTCTCACTGCTCAAATTGACTTTGATGACATGAAATTGCTATCTGGGGGCTTGTTAGTCAATACAGAGGAAAATTAGTGAACTTCGTGTATGGAAATCTTTCCTGTTCGCTTAAAATATAGAGTTGAATGGTGCAAAAAAAATGATGAAAACAGTCCCCTTTCCGTACCGAGGCTACAGTTTGAGTTTTAACATTTTAACGTACACGCGAAGCGTTGTTGGCGCAACGTCAGATTCTTTTGGTCTGGGAACCTACCACATACACTGTCTTTATAGTGCATATGGCAGGCGGCATCAGACGAGCCAGTCACGAGGCCTCGTGATTGGCCCGTCTGACGCCGTCCACAATGAAAAATATCCCCCCCCCCCCAAAAAAGGATGCGGCTTAAAAAAAGTATGCTACTACTTGGCCTTGTATAGCGCATAACATCATCAGAAAAATGTCAATGCGATATGGAATGGTGTCCTAATCTACACTTTTATCATGAAGACAAGCAGAAATTTTACAAATTCGCATAAAAGTTTTTAAAACATAAGATAACATGATTTTCAAGTGGTATATAATGTCCCAAGATGTTTGGGGCTGTAAACTTTTTTGGCTTATGTTACATGTATCTTTTCTTTTTAGCTCCGAGAATCAGTTTTCCGGTTTGTCCAAGACGAGCTCGCTCCAAAAGCAGCTGAGATTGATGCCAAAAATGTGTTTGAAGGACAAAAGGTAAAAAAATATTGAAGCATTATTATATTTTCATCCTCTCAATGTTAATAGCAAATTACCTGCCTATTCCCGATTTCCGATCCTTGCTTGCTGTGTGTTCCCTTTTCAAAACAATCCTTCCTAACCCAAATGACTACATTGTAGTTTAATCAAAGGAAATCTTACATTTGAATCCAGATGTCGGTGCTTTATCCTCAAATGTTTAATAAAATTGTTTGTCTCGGTGACAACACGAAGAGAGATGACCTATCCGTCAAAATCTATCAGGTGACAGGTTTTAACAGGTCTGTAAATTGGCTTCATAGTAGTACAATTGACAGGCTGTGGTAATTTTGTTAATTCCTAACCCCCTTAATGCTTCAAAATATTCTTCCCCAAAGTGGAGGAATTTGGAGGATTGAGGTTATATGGCAAATGTGCATTACTGATTTCGTAGGATGCACTTTGTCAAGGTCTTGGGCAGGACCTTGTGTGGTTTTTGCTCAGCCATGCATACAAATATGCCTGGATTATGCTTGAAATCCTCCGTACTGCTCCAGGATGTCACTGGCCAAGCCTCAACATATTGACATATGAAGACACTAATGCTGTCAATGAATGTTCCATGTGACCAAGGTACATGTAAGTTGATGTTAAAAGAGTGGTGTTATGTCATGGGAACAGTCACGGTTGCGGGGCATTTGTGTTTGTAAACACACCTGACTTGTTTGTGTATGTACCGCTTTTTTTCCATGAGGCCAATTGGAGGATTTTGCAGGATTGAGGCTACATCCTAGCAAAAAGGCCAAGGGAGTTAGTGTTACCGTTAATATACTTTTTTGGATCACTGACAACACGAAGAGAGATAACCTATCCGTCAAAATCTGGGGCCGTATCATAAGTCCGACGCCTCATAGGTCCGACGCCTCATAAGTCCGAAATTTCGGACTTCCATGTATGAGGTGTCGGACGTATGAGGCATACAATTTATTTATTCCGCCTCATAGGTCCGATGCCTCATAAGTCCGACGCCTCATAAGTCTGACAACGGAAAAACGAGGCGTTTAATTTGTCGGACTTACGAGGCATCGGAGCTATGAGGCGTCGGAGCTATGAGGCGTCGGAACTATGAGGCATCGGACTTATGAGGCGTCGGACCTGTGAGGCGTCGGACTTCTGGGCCTTTATTTGGTTAGGGGATGCGATTTTGTCGGACTTATGAGGCGTCGGACCTATGAGGCGTCGGACTTATGAGCGAACCCCCAAAATCTATCAGGTGACAGGTTTTAACAGTTTGGTACATGGCTCATATTGGTACAATTGACAGGCTGTGGTAGTTTTGTTAACTGAGGGTACCATGCCTTGGCTGACATTGATAGATGTGGTGGGTCAGTGCTGGTGATTGCCTGTCAATGATGGATTTAGCTCAGTAACAATGATGGCACAAAAGGTTCACTCATGCATATATCCCAGCCAAACAAAGGCATTGCCCCCTAAGATGGCTGCTACGCAAGTTGTAGCAGTATTCAAGGTCACCCTACCTATCAAACCCCTTCAACAGGCTTTGACAGTTATGTGGTTTTACTCTATAGGGTTGCAGACCAGTAAATAAACTGCCATAGACCCTACTGATAATTGCCCCCACTCTAAAAATGCAGGAAAAATACTCACAACTCTCCAAGGTGTTCGAGTCACACATCAAATTAAAGCTTATTTCATCATCTTTCATTTTCTTTTCAATTTTCGGGGGTTAACTGATGACTTTTAGGAGAAATTTCCATTCAAAGATAATCACCCCTTAACCCTACAAGGGCCGGGGGGGGGGGGGGAGTGGAATCCCCCCCTCCCCCTCAACTTTGTCCGCGATAGCCTTGACATTTTTTTTCGCGACCCAAGCTGTTAATGAGTGTTATGACTTTTTAACCTCAAGCCTTGCGCATCTTTTGATACCAAAAACATAAAAATCGTACCACGGGATGCCGCGCAGCAAAACATTTTCCCAACTGAATTTTTTGAAAACTGAATTTTCCCATAAACGCCGTGTACACAGAGCAGAATTGCCATTCGTACATATGAATAAATAATAAGCCATAATTCCAAAACCCTTTGACCTATAGTCATGAAATTTCTTGGGTATGCTCATGAAGAGTTGCTCTATGCATGTACCGAGTTTCAAATTTTTGTCAATCGATGGCCGAGATTTGAGGGGGGGGGGGGCGGAATCGGCTTTTTGACGGTTTGTGACAGTGCTATCAGTAGGAGCGTCAATAATTATTTATTTTTCCTTGCCCTTACCCTTACCCTTGCTATTTATTTTCGCAGGAATTCTGGCGGAAACTGGGTGATATGGGCCTCCTGGGCTTGACTGTTCCTGGTATGTCAATATTTTCATGTTCTTATTTTGCCTGCTTCATTTTCCAACCGCCTCCTTTTTAACCAGTTTGCAATGGAGGACGTGATAACACGCACTGGCTGTTTTTACACACAGGCACGGCTGATGTGTTAAGACGTCGAGATTACCTCGACTCGCCCCCGGGTGACGTCTAAACACGCTAATCCCTCGTGCCTTTTGTACACACACATGAAGTTCTTGAAGTCTGTGGAGGCCGACCACGTGTTGATCTTGAATTAGCCGTTGTGCACGGCCTATTGTACAATTTACGCTCCAGTGCAGAAGTGCACACCCCGGAGTATTGAAACATATGAGGTTTCGGCAAGAAACAGCGTACAAATAGTGTTGACATTCCGCATGTCGAATCGCATGATGCCTTGCGCGTGCTGCACGGATTGCACTTTGAAAGGAGTCTTGCAACCAAGACTTGCAATTTGCATGTGGACACGAACTAAGCTGGTCAAGTTCCCCATTGATCATGTTGATATAATGATGTACTGCCGTGTTACCAGTCATTACCAGTGTGCATGCACATATGTATTATGTACGTGCGTGCATTTGGCCAGCGATCGCTTCAGTACCATATTTGGTAAGGAAAAAATTAAGACAACACTTCGAAAACTGTTTGTTAGGTTCCTTTTCAAGTTTTCGTGCATCTTTTTGGCAGTTAAATATGGAATTCCGGGTTGTCCTTATTTTCCGTGAAATTCCGTCCGTTTTCCGTATTGCAGAGGACTCGGCACTTCAGTTCATTCCCTTTATTAATTTATGTCAACTAGTTTGCTTTTAAAATGTCTGAAACAGAGGAGTATGGAGGCACCGGGGGAAGCTACCTGGACCATTCCATCGTTATGGAGGAAATGTCGAGAGGGTCGGCAGCCGTTGCGTTAAGCTACGGCGCCCACTCAAACCTCTGCGTCAATCAGCTCGTCCGCAACGGCAACGAGGAACAGAAGCAGAAATACTTGCCCAAGGTACAATGTTCTCGAGGGCTTGTCTCGTTGGAATGTTTGTGCCGTGGTCCAAATCGTTACGGTGAAATTTGAGGGGGCAATTGGGGGGCAAGGAAATAATTTTTGGGGGCAGTCAAAACAAATCTCAAGCCTGTGTGCGTACGCGCGTACCATTGTCAATGGTCCGGAAATATACCACTAGAGCAGCTTAGAGGTGTACTCGTTTTTATGAACATGATGAAAGAGAAATGTATCAAACCGCAGAATGGTGTATAACAAATTTCATAACAAATGTACAAAGACGTTGGCTGCACACTATCTACGGCTGTATAAAAGCAGGTGTGGCGTGCTTTGTGGCACACAATTGTATGAATTTTAACAGTGAAGAAAGTAAACATAATTAATCTACTTGTAGATAAAGTGTGCGGGGGAAAACTGGGGTGGGGCAAACTCGGGGGGAGGGGGGCAAGGACAAAACTTGGAAGGGGGCAAATTCTCCCCATCCCCCCCTCCTCTCCTTATGTAGCGCCACCAGTCATGGCCTAGCAGTTAAGAGCACCGGACTCATGTTCTGGTGTTTCAGAGGCAACAGTGACGTGGGTTCGAGCCCGCTGGCAGACACTTGTGCTCTTAAGCAAGGCACTTAACCATTATTGCTTCGTCCTTCGGACGGGATGGAAAGCCGTAGGTCCGGTGTGTTGTATAATGCACGTAAAAGAACCCAGTAAACACTTATCGCTAAGAGAAGGGGTTTGCCCCGGTGTTTCTGGCCTCCTGTATAAACTCCCACGTGGAGTATTTAGAAGAAGAACCAACCAAGAACACCAAGAACAACTACTAAGGACTGGTCTCAATTCATATCCTGGACAAGTTCAAGACAAATTGCGGACGTTGTATCAGGTGTACATGTATATAAGTTGCAGGATCCTGAACAACTTCCCGGCAATCTTCCCGCAATGAAGTTACCAGTGTTGGTGAGTCGAGCAGTTGCTGATGAAAATTTCCCCGGAACATGTCCGGGACAAATGCAGAGCTTCTTCCAGTGAAGATGAGTGTTTCTATCCGCAACTTGTCTGGAACTCGTCTCTGAGGGGATATGAGATGGGCCCTCATGATTTCTTGATTGTGACAATTCACACTGATTCTTTGCTCGTTTCGGCAGCTGATTAGCGGTGAGCATATCGGGGCCTTAGCCATGAGTGAAGCCAACAGTGGATCCGATGTCGTCTCCATGAAGCTCAAAGCAGAACACAAAGGTAAAGTAGAATAGTGCTTGTGGACAAACACACGGCTGTTTTGTAGGCGTTTCCTATGGCAGAGATCCTGGGGTGGATGGGGGGATATATTCTTCCCCTCCCCACTTTTTGGGAAGGGGGTATGATGTATACAATCACCGCCCTCTCCCCCACCCCCCCCCCCCCCCAGAATTTCCAACACCCTTTCACCCTTTATTAAATAGCGCCCTCAATCTGCGAATAGGTCCCCCCCCCCCCTTTTCAAATATTTTGCAGGCGCAATTTTTTTTCAGGGACACTTTTTTGGGGATTGTGCCAACAAAAATGCTGATCATCCCCCCACTTTGTGACACAAATCTCCGCCATCGAATGTACATGCACATGAATATTCATATTGGGCTGTGTAGAAGTGAATTTGGTGTTACAAATTAGCAAAATGACGCCATATGAATGTTAAAAGCGTCATCAATTGATTTGGAGCAACATCAGCCCTGTCTTGGCCTGTATCTAGTTTGAAATCAGTCTGATTGCTTTTTTTATGATCAAATTGTGAACCAAAATAATGGGTTATTGAAAATATTTGTGAGAAAAGCTCATTGGCTTACTTCCCTGTACTGACACAACAAATCACCAAAAACAAGAACATTTATGTCAGAGAAAAATCCAAAATTCTGGCAACTTTCGGTGCCAACATAGCTGTAACATTGAGATTTCTGCCTGAAATGACATCACACTTTTGCTCATGAATATGGAAATTTTCATTTGCATAAAAACCAAAAAGGCTTAAAATACCTTGAAAATGCCAATGTGGCAAAGCAAAATTGAAAATAGGGCTAAATGGTATATAAAAGTTCATTTCCAAGGATTGCATTAACCCTAACCTCTTAGGCTCCTTTTGCTAGGAACCATCCTCAATCCTCCAAAATCCTCCAAAATTTTGTTTGTAACAACGCCTGAATCCTTCGAAATTGTCGGACAGTCCTGCCTCAAAATACATTCATCGTCAATCCTTCAAAATCCTCATCCAAAAATTTTGCACTCATGGCCAAATGAAGGATAACCAACGCCTCAATCCTTAAAAATCATCAGACAGTCCTGCCTCAAATGCATTCATCGCCAATCCTCCAAAATCATCCTCATCTTCAAACACCATTCATCCTCAATCCTCCAAAATCATCCTCATCTTCAAACACCATTCATCCTCAATCCTCCAAAATCATCCTCCAAAATCATCATGTGCTTCAACACCGTTCATCCTCAATCCTCCAAAATCCTCATGTGCTTCAACACCATTCATCCTCAAGCCTCCAAAATCCTCATGTGCTTCAACACCATTCATCCTCAATCGTCCCAAATCCTCATGTGCTTCAACACCATTCATCCTCAATCCTCCAAAATCCTCATGTGCTTCAACACCGTTCATCCTCAATCCTCCAGAATCATCATGTGCTTCAACACCATTCATCCTCAATCCTCCAAAATCATCATGTGCTTCAACACCATTCATCCTCAATCCTCCAAAATGCTCACGTGCTTCAACACCATTCATCCTCAAGCCTCCAAAATCCTCATGTGCTTCAACATAATTCATCCTCAATCCTCCAAAATCCTCATGTGCTTCAACACCATTCATCCTCAATCCTCCAAAACCATTGTGTTCTCAAACACCATTCATCCTCAATCCTCAAAAATTCTCCAAAACCGCAATGATGATTTTGGAGGATCGAGGTGGGTATTGGTTAAAAAAATTTAATTGCGTGGGGCAATTTCAGTTTAAACAACGCATGACTTTGTTCTGATTCTAGGAGACCATTACTTATTGAACGGTACAAAGTTTTGGATCACCAACGGTCCTGATGCTGACGTGCTCATTGTCTACGCGAAGACGGACTTATCGGCTGAAGCCAAGCACGGAATTACGACATTCATCATAGAAAAGGTGAACACACGAGCGTTTCCACTCAATTATAAACATCAATGCCAAAACTTGCCCAAAAGCCAAATACTACAAATCACAAACACGTACTGCTATATCAGTTTGAAGCTTTTTATCTGTATTTTATCAAAATATAATTTAGTTATAACAATGTTCTAAAAGCTCAACTATTACTTTGAACTGGTGATGTTATTTAGCATGACAAATGGTTGAAAAGAGTGTCATTATGGTGTATGGAAATGAAGTTTCACTTTGATCTTCAGGACTTTGAGGGATTCAGCACGTCCCCTAAGCTGGACAAGCTGGGTATGCGGGGATCCAACACTAGTGAGCTGGTTTTCGACAACTGCAAAGTACCAGGTATGAAACGAAACATGTCTTTATTTGCCCCCTCCCCCCCCCCAAAAAAAACCCTCTGACCCAGCCATGCCCAAGTCCAGCCCTGCCCCAGGTATGCCCCCAGGCCTGCTCAAGCCCTGCCCCCAGTCCAGCCAAATCCCTGACCAAAGCCCCACTCAACCCCCCCCCCCTCGTCCCACTCATAGTCCCACCCCTAGTTTCACTCCTAGTCCCACCCCTATGTAGTCCCACCCCTAGTCCCTCTCCTAGTCCTCCCCTAGTCCCACTCCTATAGTCCCACTCCTAGTCCGACCCCTAGTCCCACTCCTAGTCCCTCCCCTAGTCCCACTCCTAGTCCCACCCCTAGTCCCACTCCTAGTCCCACCCCTAGTCCCACTCCTAGTCCCACCCCTAGTCCCACCCCTAGTCCCACTCCTAGTTCCACCCCTAGTCCCACTCCTAGTCCCTCCCCTAGTCCCACCTCTAGTCCAGCCCCTAGTCCCACCCCCTAGTCCCACCCCTAGTCCCACCCTAGTCCCACCCCTAGTCCCACCTCTAGTCCAACCCCTAGCCCCACCCCCTAATCCCACCCCTAGTCCCACTCCTAGTCCCGCCCCAGTCCCACCCCACTAATGCCCTCGGCCCTGCCCTCAGCCCTGCTCAAGCCCTGCCTAAAACCCTGTTCAAGCCCCTCCAGTCCCACCCTAGAACCACTCCCTAGCCACACCCTTTGGCCTTTGCCACGCCCCAACCCTGACCCCAGCACAGCCAAAGCCTTCCCAAGACTTTGCTTAAGCACCCTTAGCCCAGCCACACCTCAGCCCTACCCTCAGCTCCACCCCATGCCCTGCCACAGCCCTGCCTCAGCCCTACCCTCAGCCCCGCCCCATGCCCCGCCCCAGCTCTTCCCCAGCCCCGCCCCAGCCCTGCCTTCAAGCCCCACCCCCAGGAAGAAGGGGCCCATTGTTGTCTAAATGTCCAAAGCAACACTCTCGCTCACGGTGCAGTTTTCAACATTTGTCTGCGTTTCCAGTTGAGAATGTGATGGGCCCACTAAACAAGGGAGTGTATGTTCTGATGAGCGGCCTCGATCTGGAGCGGTTGATACTATCGGGAGGCCCAGTTGGGTAAGCATATTCCGTTGAAAATCCGCTAAGCAAAAATAACGTGCTGAGCACACTTGGTATTAAGGTATAGCGCATCATTTGCTTTTCATGCACTTTTTTCGTTTACAATTATAACACCACTCAAAATCAAAACAATAACGCTCAAACCTACCCTGTTGAACTTTCAGCACATTGGTAGGAATGTGCATTCACGGTTAGAGTCAGGTTGGCATAGCGGTACTTTCCTCGCCTTCCACCACTGTGACCCGGGTTCGAATCCCGCCTGGGCCAATATGTGGATGGGGTTTTCAGTCCCTGCCTGATTCGTGGGTTTTCCCCAGAATATTCTTCTGGGCTTTTCCTCCCACCTATAAAACTGTAATTTCTTCTCTTTGTCTTCTCTCCACTGGTTTCTTCAGGCTTACGAGCTGCAGTGCCTAGGGCGCTTTTGAGGAATCCTTGGTTTTATTACCAGTAATGATTAATAATAATCGCAAAAGTGGACCCCGAAATTCGTTCTCGCACGCATAATAAGGAATTACACAAAAATGCCCAGTTTTGAAGGGATAGTTGTGTGGATGTTTATATCCTACTTTTAAATGTTATTTTCGATGAAAATCATTTCGTTCAAAGCGTGTTCTGTAGTCCAATTGGGCTGTTCCAGGACCTAGTGTCCCTTTAATCCAATAAGCCTTTCGATAATAATGCAGTAAGTTCCTGTTTGAAAATGCAAATGAGCCTATATGCCTTTTTGCGACAGACTTGATGTTGACTATTTTATTTGAATCCCCAAATTTACAATGATTTTTTTTTGGTCTAATGTCCATTCTATGTTAGTCTGATGCAAGCGTGTATGGACGTCACAGTTCCTTACTTAATGACAAGGACGGCCTTTGGAAAGCCCATCGGAGAATTCCAGGTAAAAAACGGAAGTACATCTCACTTCCAGAATTACAACTTGATTTTATGAACTTGGTTTTTCTTTGGCCAAGTGTTGAAGCCAAAACAAATTTATCACAAGTCCATCACAAGTCATCACAAGTTAATCACAAAACCATTACAAGTCCATCACAAGTCCAACACAAGTCCAACACAAGTTAATCACAAGTCCATAACAAGTCCATCACAAGTCCATCATAAGTCCATCACAAGTCCAACACAAGTTAATCACAAGTCCATCACAAGTCCATCACAAGTCCATCACAAGTCCATCACAAGTCTATCACAAGTCCATCACAAGTTCATCACCAGTCCATCACAAGTCCATCACAAGTCCATCACAAGTCCATCACAAGTTAATCACAAGTCCATCACAAGTTCATCACCAGTCCATCACAAGTCCATCACAAGTCCAACACAAGTTCACCACAAATTCATCACAAGTCCATCACAAGTCCAACACAAGTCCATCACAAGTCCATCACAAGTCCATCACAAGTCCAACACAAGTCCAACACAAGTTAATCACAAGTCCATCACAAGTCCATCACAAGTCCAACACAAGTTCACCACAAATTCATCACCAGTCCATCACAAGTCCAACACAAGTTCACCACAAATTCATCACCAGTCCATCACAAGTCCATCACAAGTCCAACACAAGTTAATCACAAGTCCATCACAAGTCCATCACAAGTCCAACACAAGTTAATGACAAGTCCATCACAAGTCCATCACAAGTCCATCACAAGTCCATCACAAGTTAATCACAAGTCCATCACAAGTCCATCACAAGTCCATCACAAGTCCATCACAAGTCCAACACAAGTTAATCACAAGTCCATCACAAGTCCATCACAAGTCCAACACAAGTTCACCACAAAGTCATCACCAGTCCATCACAAGTCCATCACAAGTTAATCACAAGTCCATCACAAGTCCATCACAAGTCCACCACAAGTTCACCACAAATTCATCACCAGTCCATCACAAGTCCATCACAAGTCCATCACAAGTCCATCACAAGTTCACAAGGCCATCACAAGTTCATCACAAGTTCATCACAAGTCCATCACAAGAAAATAACAAGTCCGTTACAAGTCTTGATTTTAGTTTTATTTTGCTTTTCTGCTTTCTTCAGCTGATGCAAGCCAAGATGGCGGACATGTACACGCGGCTCAACGTCTGCCGGTCCTATCTCTACAACGTGGCCAGGGCGGCCGACAAGGGTTTTGTGAGCGCCAAAGACTGCGCAGCGGTAATCTTGTACACGGCGGAGAACGCCACACAGATGGCATTGGATGCCATTCAGTGCCTTGGTAAGATAGATCCTATTAAAGATGCGTTTCCATTTGCTCTGAAAAAAAAAATGCTTTTGTTTTCTTCTAACATTAACAAAAAACTACTTTTCACGTGGGTATGATTTGTCGGGATTTATCCAGAATTCCGGAATTTCTGTGAGAGGAATCGGAATTTCCTTGAGATGATCCGGATTTCCTGATTTCCGGATTTCCCCTTTTCGGACAAAAGAAAGCGAAAGACTGGTGCAAGTCAACCAGCTAAATGTCCCGCCCATGGGACGTCGTTGCTAGGTAAAAGGGCGCCCTCTTTTGTTGGCGCATGGAGCCCATTTAAGGGTTCTGTTGCAATAAATGTTACATATCCCCAAAGGTAAGAACAGCTCTATTGGTGGCTTGGTTCCCCAAGGTCCTTCCTATAATTTTGATTAAATAAATACACCGCAAATCTTGGGGATGCTTTGGCCGCCGACGCGCGACGCGACTTGCAAAACCCTCCGACTAATGTTTTGTGGATTTTTCAATTTCCTTAAATCTCTCCCCTGACTTTTCCCCGATTTAGGATTTCATTTTGTGCACAAACGAACCTGCCCTGCGACAGCCGAATCATCCTCTGTTAACAAGCAGGGTTCAAAATTCCCAATGGGCTGGTGGGCTGTGGCCAGTGATTTTGGTGTCGGTCTTGCAACATTGCAACAAAACAAGCCCGCAGTCTAGTGATTTTTCCTAACATTCCGGAACTGATCTGTCCTAGTTCAGCGTTACATTGATAATTATCTCTGTCCTTTATTATTTTTGTCTTTTTTTTTTCATACTGCTTGCATGCCTAAGTACGTGAATACAAGTTTATTCGATGAATCCTCCACCCTGAGAATGATGGAGCTTTCATCGACGCAAAAATGATTTCAAAACGCTTATAAAAATGGCAGTTTCGTCCCTCTTTTTGGTTGTGTTTTAGGTGGAAATGGTTACATCAATGACTACCCTACAGGACGATTGTTGAGAGATGCCAAGCTGTATGAGATAGGGGCAGGAACAAGCGAAATAAGGAGACTTATCATTGGTCGAGCCCTGAATGCAGAATATAAATAAGCATATGAATATTCATTACTTGAGGGTATGTTCAATTGTGCATGGTGAGATGAGGGTTATCATTGGCTGAGCCCTGAATATAAATAAGCCTTTGAATATTCATAGCTTGTAGGTATGTTAAAATGTGAATGGTGAGATAATTGGGCTTATCATTAGCCCAGCCCTCGATGCAGAATATAAATAAGCCTATGAACATGATGAATATTCATAGCTTGAAGGTTTGCTAAGTTGTGAAAATTGAAATAAGGGAGGCTTATTATTGGCCCAGCCTTCAGTGCAGAATGTAAATAAGCATATGAATATTCATAGCTTGAAGGTATGTTAAATTGTGAATAGTGAGATAAGGAGGCTTATCATTGGCCCAGCCCTGAATGCAGGATATAAATTGCCTATACATATTAATGTCTTGAATGTACATGTATGTTAAATGGTGAAAAGTGAGATAAGGGAGGCTTATCATTGGTCCAGCCTTAGGTGCAGAATGTAAATAAGCCTATGAATATTCATAGCTTGAAGGTATGTTAAATTGTGAATAGTGAGATAAGGAGGCTTATCATTGGCCCAGCCCTCGATGCAGCATATCAATAAGCCTACGAATATTCATAGCTTGAAGGTATGTTAAATTGTGAATAGTGAAATAAGGGGTTTATCATTGTCCCAAGCCCTCGATGCAGAATATTAATAAGCCTATGAATATTCATAGCTTGAAGGTATATTAAATTGTGAATAGTGAGATAAGGAGGCTTATCATTGGCCCAGCCCTCGATGCAGCATATCAATAAGCCTACGAATATTCATAGCTTGAAGGTATGTTAAATGGTGGTTGGCAAGTTGAAGGTTGGCTTATTGGCCCGGCCCTCAATGCAAAGTATGAATATTCACAGTTAAAGGTATTCTTAATCTGATTTGCAAGATAAGGTGGCTTATCTTTGGCTGAGCACTCAATGCAAAGTATTACTAAGCTATGAATATTCAAAGTTGAGTGCTGAGCCATATGCAAATTGGAGATATGACTGAGTGCCTCATGTTTATTCATGACTTGTGCTTCCCATTCTCCCCTAAATCAATATCATTAGATATGGTGGTGTTACATGTATATATTAATCGTTTTGTAGAAAACACCCTCTTACTTTGCGACAGCATGACTATGCATATGCATGAGAATATAAAATGGTGGTTGTGCTATGAACACGTTCGACGGTGGACAAAGGAATCATGTGCTGCCTGTAGTATGTAGTTTTTTGGGCAAGGAGTTTTAACTGCTCAGACTTTGGATGTCAGTGCAGATATGTTTGAATGTTGATGTGTAGACAGTTTTCTTTTTAAATATTATTTTAATTTCATATTGTTGTGGTTTCATCAGTGAGTGTTTCTCAGGGAAATGTTTTGTGGTTTCCGGTCAAAAAGTGTTTCTAATTGTTCTGCCATCTTTAAATTTGGGGGGTTCCGATTTACTTGTTCACTATTTGCTGAGACTTGGTTTGCAACAACCACGAAAGAAAACAGGACTAGGCACATCTAGAAAAGATCAAGTCAGGTCAGGTCAGTCAGGTTGGGTCAGGTCAATCAGGTTGGGTCAGGTCAATCCGGTCAGTTCGGGTTGGGTCTCTTTGACATTCGGTGAGGTCAGGTCAGGTCAGGTCATTCAGGTCGCATCAGGTCAGGTCAGGTCATTCAGGTTTGGTCAGGTCGGGTTTATTCAAGTCTTGATTTTAAGAGACAGTCAGGTCAGGTCAAGTCAGGTTAGTCAGGTCGGGTCGGGTCGAGTCCGGCTTATTCTAGTCTACATCCCAAGAGACAGTCCGGTCCGGTCGGTCGGTCGGTCGGTCGGTCAGTGCGTGCGTGTGTGCTAAATAAGTGCTAAGAGCACACTAGGTTGCCCTCTGGGACCAGCACAAATGTAGTCTTGCAAGATACACGTAAGGCCACGAGACGCTTTAAAAGATCACTGACAGTAAGAAATGATATATAGAGACAACACAACACTGCAGGTGCACGCTTACACTCTATCTAAAGTGCTTTTATTGAATGAATACATGTTTAAATTTAACACAGAAAAGAGACGTGAAAAAAAAGGCTTGTGTCGTGATATGCCAAACTTTCTCCATCATGTCTCTGACTAAATATTCAATTAATTTCATTGGCTTTAAGGTAATGGTCACCATTTGCTGAAAAAGCTATATTTGCCTTTTCAAGAAACAATAAATAATAAATCTGAAGCAGGTTATTAATACAAAACTCAGTAAGACAATGTCGAAATTGTGTACAGTAGATGTCATACTTTTGAGAAAACTGTAACAATGCATCTTTATTTTTTTCTCACGCAAAGCATGTTTTTGTTGGCTGTTTGAAGGTTTGATCCATAACCATCGCGATGAATTGATGGTTATTCTTTTTGCCTGGAAAAAGACAGAATACTGGGTGGAAATTATTTCACAGGATGCTTTATATCCTTTTATTTTCTAAAATTTAAGAAGGATAATTCATTATATTTTGATAGTTTTATGTTTGAGTGTTTGCAAATGGTGTCGATTACCTTAAACCACTTCAAAAGTTAAAGGAAAGGGGAAAAAAGAAAGGGAAAAAAACCCAAAACAATTTGCTAAGGAATATTTCCAGTTACAATTGGTTTGTATCTATTTCCACCAGTTACTGAGATTCATGCTTAACCATGTGGGAAAGGACAATTAATAAAGAGTAATAATCTATATATAATAATGCTGCTTATTTCTAATAAAAAAATAGTGTATACCAGATTTGCTAAGATAATTAAGTAAGGTATATTGGATATTTGAAAAGTTTCATGCAATATTTTTTGGAATTTTATATAGTGTTGTAGAACAAAATTGTCGGCAGTGCATACTGAATAATATTCATTCCATGGGTTTACGAAGTGATTTTGAGTGGGTAAACTCTTTTGTAGTGACTCAAATTTACCCACTTCAAATAGCGCCCTCTTATTGTGTCCGCCATACCTTAACAAGAATAATAGCTTGTAACGCTTGCAGTTATTATCCAAGTTTCAGGTTAACTTTCATCCGGAGATTGTCAAATCGAAGTGTTTTCTGGGTCCAAGAAAATCCCGACAAATTGTGTAACATTTCCAGAAAAATGTTGAAAACGCCCGTTAGTTTACATCTGGCGCGTCAGCGATTTTTGCCTCTCCTTTAAGTATTTCTAGCAGTGAAAAAAAAAAAGCCATTGAATTTCAACTCAAAAAGGAAACCGTCATTTTTGGCGAGCTGTGAAGCAGAAGCGAGCCTATGTGATACCAATTTCCGTCCGTCCGCCCTTACCAGGGACCACTTGAGGGGTACCCGTCCTTTGTTCGAGGTACCCCACATATAAAATCTTGAGAAAAAAAGGTACCCCGCAACGAAATCTTTAGAAATAGGGACAATGGGACAACAATGCTGATAACAATGTTGAAGTTTTTGGTTCTAGCTAACTTGGGGAAAAATGAAATGCAGTTTAATACATGTATCATCTTTATAACTTCAGTTAGGTTCATATTGCAGTAAATTGTATTATTTTATTGAGGATTTTTAATTCAAGAAAATATTTTATTAAGTTTTTAACTGTTACATGTTCATGTTAACCGGTATAACAGGTACATGTATGTATACCGATATAACATTTACACTATGCATTTCGGGGATGTGCATGTACTTGAACTTTTAGTTTTATGTGGTTGGAGTAGGGATGGGGTAGGGGAGGATGGGGTGGGGAATAGGGGTGGGGGATAGGGGTTGGAGTTGGGGTTTGGGTTGGTATAGGGATGGGTACGGGAGCTAGGGTGGGGTGGGTGGGTGGGTTGGGGCGGGGGATAGGGGTTGGAATACTGGGTTTGGGTGGGGTGGGGATGTGTACAAATGTATGGGTGGGGTGGAGACAGGTAGGGGAGGGTTAGGGGGTCGAGGAGGGGGAAGGAAATAGGCATTTGAGTAGGGTTAGGGTGGGGATGTGTAGGAGTGGGTGAGGATGGGTAGCGTGGGTGTATAGGGTTGGGTAAGGGGAGGGGGCAGGGTATAAGGATCGGAGTAGGGGTTGGGGTCGGGTGGGGAGGTATGGGTCAGTATGGGTAGGGGGATAGGGATTCGAGTAGGGGTTAGGGTGGGGATGTGTAGGGGTGGGTACGGAGGGATAGGGGCATTATAGGGTAGGTGGGTGTAAGGGGTTGGGGGAGGGGAGGAGGAAGGAGATAGGGATTGGAATTCGGGTGGGGTTGGGATGTGTAGGTGATGGGGTTGGGATGGTAGGGGGAGGATGGGATGGGTGTGGGTAGGGGGTTCGGGAATGGGGTAAGGTTTGGGGCTTGTGGTGATGGTGCTGTGTCTACATGTACATGTATACCCATTCTTGTTCCGCATTCAATTGTGGGGACTACACAAGAGGTCTCCTATGGTAATACAAGTACGGGGACCCGAAGACACTGTGGGGGCTGCAAAAATCCACAACTGGGTCCTAATTACCCTAACAATGAAAAACTCCCCCATAATACAGTGACGGCTAACCTATATACAGATGTATTTATTAGGTCATCTATTGACTTTTTATGTTGACATTTAAAAACTGATCCCTACTCCTTGGCACCGTGAACGAGAATCCTGATCCCCATCATGCCCATCCCCAACCCTACCTCCAGCCTCCCTTCCCGCCTTCGACAGCGAGCCATGGCGACTTCGCCGTTCTAGTTCAAGGTTTAGTTGTGTGCACGTTTATATTCTACTGGTCATCAATCTGTCCAACGATTATTATTTCGTGAGAAATGCGTTTTTAGAGCCCAAAATGAGAGCGCACCCGGCCAAAAGTGCATTTAAGTATTTTGAGTGAAAACAATTTCATGTTCTAGATGGTTTTCCAAAAATATCCCTTTCACCATTATTTTTCTACATGCAAAAATGTTATTACGTAATTATATGCCCTTGTATTTTATTACAGAATGTACAACTAAGAATCTAAAATATGCTCAGCAAAAAACTTGAAAAAAGGTAAATTTAAATTCTGTTCACCATAGTTTTTTTTTAATCCAACTGATTTCTTTTGCCAGCATCAATGTAGCATGGGAAACTCCTGCCTCTAAAGCTCACTGGAAAATTGGACAATTCAAAACTGTGGAAAAGTCTATGTCTTAAACCTGGGTTAACCGTTAGACTGGTTCCAGGTCCCTCCATCATAGCCCTCACTCAGAATGTAGGAGGTGGGAACAAGTGCGAACGTCTATATATGGGGGCTCAGGAGGAGTGCAATTGCCTCTTTTGCTTTTGAGCATTTGTTTTGGCTTTTGAGCATTTTTTTCTTTCAGTTTAACAACAAAATCGCTCAAAATCACGAGAAGGGTGCATAACAAATGAAACTGGTTGAATTTGCAGCTCAGTGAATACTAGATATTTTGGCGTCTAAATAAATTCCGTTGCTAACGCACATACAAAACTGTGCCTGTAAGGTAATTTATAAAATCACTTTCAAAGATTGTTTCTTCCGAATGATACCATTTCAGGCAGGGCATTGGTTACCAGTTCTATCTTCATTTTGAGCAAGGAATTTCTTCTTAAATCGCTGGGTGCGATTCGGGGTAACTGCAAATGATCCTATGTGTCTGTATGTTTTGACTGAAGCATTCTTAAATTTAACACCACGCATCTATGAGTTATATCCCCATGCTCCAATTTGTCGAATTTCCAGCGAGCACTAGAGCTAGGTTTTCCCAAGCTAGCCTCGATGGACTTTACTCATTAATTGTACAGCCGAGGACTTCAAAGCGCATACTGCACCAACCGTGCCACTGAGTAGGCAGGATACGCAGGAACCTGGCCTGGAAAGCCCCCGGGAAAGTGGTGGTCACGTGGGTGTTTTTGTCCGAGTTTCCAGGGAACTGTGGAATAAACAACATGAACACGATTTTTAAACAGCGTTGAAAGGTTAATGGGGATGAGTTTTCCCTTGCAGTCACACGGTTTTAGCAGTAGCGATAGAGGGAGCCCTCGTCCTACGGCATCCATAATCTTGGATTTCAGGGCTTTGTAGAATCAGTAAAATAATTAAAGTATTTAAAATACTAAGGCAAGACAACAGATTTGTTGATTGGAAAATGGTTGGAAGGAAACATAAGTCGATCTGACAACAAATCCAAAGTTGGCATTTTTCCCTTCTCAGAATACTTGCTTCTTTTTCATTTAGTTTTAAATTCAAGAGCGAGGAGAGATAGATGTTTACTTGGGTGGGACTTGAACCCACGACATTGTGCTTACTAGTGCGAATGTCTTACCACTCGACCAGCAGAGTTGCCTGGGTCTGTGGCTGGTTCGAATCTGATCGAACTTAATTTTCATCCAACATCAGCACCCGTAAACAGGAAGTCTTGGGTTTGAGTCCAAGCCGACTGAGTATAAAGCTTGTGAATTTTATCTCAAACTCTGGGAAAGCACTGAGTATACGCATGGGCGTCGCGAGGGGGGGGGGGGGGGCAAGGGGGGGGGGCACTTGCCCCCCCCCTGGAAAAGCAAAAAAAAACAAAACAAAAAAGGAAGAAAAAAAGAAAAGAAAAGAAAAGAAAAGAAAAAGAGGCGCGAAGACAAAGTGGAGTAAATTTAATGAGTGGGGGGGGGGGGGGCAAAATGTCCCTGCCCCCCTCTAAAACTGATAAATCGAGAATGTGTTGAGAAATACAAGCATTTTTTTTGCAAAAAAAATTTTTTGCCCCCCTCTAGAAAAAATCCTATCCATGAGTATACGTTATTTATGAAATTACATCGGTGAAAGGGCAAATTGAACAATGCGATTGGACTACCTTCATCGGTGTACTTGATCCATCATCGGTGACGTCAGTCCATTCTTGGCCATCGTCGCTGTAGGCCACTTTGAACTCTGTCACCCAATCTAGGTATTTCCCATCCCCACGCCCCTGGGTGATAACACCAGTGATGATGACATTGGAACCAAGGTCGACTTGGATCCACGGATTGGCGTCACTAACTCCAGCATAACACCAGGCTGAGGCCCAACCGGCTGCAGAGTAAGCAGATAATCAAACATGCTGAGCATAAAATACTGCTTAGCAAATTTATGTGCTAAGCAAAAACTGACAACCTGCCACAAGCATTACACCTGGGAGAGGCTGCACTTGAAAAGTAAGCGGATAAGGAGAAAGTATCGCATGACCAGTTTTATGTGCAAATCAAAAATCGGCAGGGAAATAGTCGCAAGCAATGCACAGACTTTTTGCTGGTAACCCTCCTTTATGTGTTTTATACAGCCTATCCCCCCAAAAATGCTGCAAGCAGAAACGGGTTCTGTCCTTGGAATATTGCAAAATACTTCATTATGCTTATATAATGTTAAACCACGGATATTTAGCTTTCAAATGTTATTTGTTTCATCAATTTTGCTTTTGCCAAGTTCGAGACTATAGTCCGTTGAACACAAACATTCAAAAATCAATTTGTGCCACTTTCTACATGATTAGGCCTATAATGACATGACAAGACATGGCACCGGTTCAAATCCGACTTCATTTAAGGTTCGCAATTCCAGAAGATATGTTTTTATTATGATGATTTGGAGAGTGTGTTACAAATAATGAAAAGAACATTATAATATGAATAACTAAAGTGTTTCTTCACCTATTCATTACTAATTGTATTTCTGCACGATCATACATGTGTATAATACTGGCAATTTCTGTTTATATCATCAACTTACGGAAAGTGACACAAGTTTGAATGTTTGTGTTCAACGGACCATATCTTTGGTTTGGCAAAAGCAAAATTGATAAAACAAATAGCTAGCATTTGAAAGCTGAATATCCCAGGTGTAACATCATATAAGCATCATGAAACTTTTTTCAATATTCCAAGGACACAGAGCCCGTTTCTGCTTGCAGCATTTTTTTTTTTGGGGGGGGGGGGGACAGGCATTATGTTGTGCCAAGCACCTCTAATATGACAGTCAGCCATTGAGGAATGAGCA